GGCCTTGTTGAAATGTTGAAGGAAAGCTGAAAGGGTTTGGTTTGTTCAGCCTAGAGAAGAGAGAGCTCAGGGGGTGGGGTGTGAGTGTCTAATCAAAGTCTTCCCATACCTAAAAGGTAGTTATAAAGAAAATGGAGGCACTCTTCTCTCAAAGATGTATGACAACAGACAAGAAGCAACGGGCACAAATTGCTTCAGGGGAAGCTCCATCTAGATTAAGAAAATATTCTTCACTGTGAGGGCAACTAAACACGGGAACAGGGTGCCCAGATAGGTGGTGGAATTTCCCTCACTGGAAATATTCAAGACTTGGTTTGACAGGGCTCTGGATAATTTACTTTTCAACAGACAGTTATACAAGATCCCTCCCAGACATCCCTTCCAACCCAGACTTTTCTATTATTTTATTCTATGATTTTGGAATGCGATGGACTGCTGAAAACCCCATTAGGCTATATTCAGTTGTTGCTTTGAGCAAATGAGGTCAGAATCTCAACTCTTCTTAACCAAACTGGCTGACAGAAATACCAAACATAAATTGGTGAGGAAACAGGCACCAGTAATGTGTTTCTATTACACGTTCATTGATGGGGCATGAATCTGGTGCTATGTATGAATGACTGATTGCATTGCTACATGCAAAATCAAATACAGCTTGCCCTCTCCATTACTTTAAAGTACACCAGGTTATCTTAAAACATATCTGGGGCCAAATTCAACCTTTACTCTCCAGCAGGAGGAAAGCACAGTTATACTAGCAATGAAGCTGATCCCTACCTTTTAGTCTACTGGTGTAATTTTTGTCCTTCTGATACCTGTTAATTTACATTATATTAGTACAACACTTGAACTTGCTTTTTTTTCCAATGCATATTGAGATGTAACTCAGAGAAGCTTACATTACTGCTCGCTATTTCATGGTAAACCTGCACACGTGACCTTAAAGCCTAACACAAAATCATGTGAGTTTATAACACACCAGCAGTCTAAAAGGTAGTTTCCTCACAGTTGCCAGTACTTTGTGACTGATCTTAGCAACCCGGTTGATTGAAATAATTTACTGAGAGGCTGAAATGATTTCCTGAATAAAAGAGGTGGTTTCAAAAATTGTCTTAAGGTGAGAATTCATGGACAAGATACAGATTTCCCTGGTAGGTATGGAGAGCTGGTCAGCCCCTTAGGAATACAGCCATGTAAATGTTTTATTCATGTCAGTTATTCACATACGTGGGCTTCACTTTGGTGTGTAACACAAGCCAGCTGGTTTGCTTCTTTTAAACTCTGATTTCTCATGCACTTCATATTGCTACACCCCCTTCAGAGATATTTATGGAAATCTCACAGCAAGCTCTCTCAAGCTTATGTGCTATTAAGATTCCATTCTGGGGTGTTTACTGCATTAGATTTATAACATAGAGATTTATGGACTCAGCTACTTGATGGCCCAATAAAGCACGTTGGAACTGAAAGCAGCTACTAATTAAAATAATATTTGATTGTCCTTAGCATACTGTAAAACTGCTGTGGATTTAAACAGAGCCATTGCAGCTTCTATATAGCCTCCCAGCCTAACTGCATAATAAGAAAATTGACAATTCACCTATAAGATCAGTTTAATTGTGGCTACACGTTGGGAATTATAACATGTTTTTCTATCTGTTTGTATACATGGAAGTAGGCTAGTGTGGAAATACTCTTAAGCCCCTCATGATTTTGGCTGTTCTAAACACCAGAGAATGAAAGGACTGAAATTCACAGCCAAAGAGAACAAGAAGGTTACAGCATTAGCACCAGGGCTGTAAAGAATCAACTATTCTGCTAATCCCCATTTAGACAATTAGATTAAATCCTACTGAAAGGATCAGCTGATAAGATGTACCTCAGGCTAACTTCCTCCTAAAAAAGGCTATTTTCAATGTTGGGTAGAATTTTCATCTTGAATTCTCTACCACTCAATGTTAGAAACGAGGGACTTACACAACCCCTGCTCCTTCCTCTAAATAGTTAAGTTTCTCAGACTGACTTCATGCACACTACAACGTGTAGTAAGAAGTATGAATTTTCAAGCATGCAAAAGCCTGGCTTACTCTCTGTAAAGGCATTTGGAAACAGCGATGAACGCAAAATAAGGAAATAGTTAAAATTAATATTAATTACTGTCTTATTGCACTGCTTAGTTAAATCCATTCTAATGGATGGCATTAAAAGCTCTTCAACACCACTTCAACGTGGTGGCTCCATTCAGAAGAACAGAAGCTTTTAGACAGTGGTCATGAAGGGTGACTTCATACCCTTCTCTGCAACTAAAATGGACAGATTTTCTTCCCCTGCCACGTAAAGGCTGATATGCAGAACTTTACAGCACAGATCACAGAAGGCAACAACGATGGAAAACCTGGGGCACTATCACTTGTAATGCTAGGAGCACACTAAGAGGAGGGAAGAACGTTCATGAATCATTAACAACCAAAGATCAGATATGCAAAAATTCCTGAAAAAGCTTTTTCATGAACTACTGAATTCAAATCCGTAGTTTTAGCAAGTGGGGATAACTTGCAAAACATCTGACGCTTTCTGCAAATTAGGCTTCCACCACCTAGACCAGCTGAGATTCTGCTGCTGCTAATATGCATCTTATTGTCCCATCTGCAGTAGCTCAGCATTCAAGTGCAGAACTTGAAAGAAATTTCTTGCACATATTCGGCAGATCTAGTTTTCTGCTGAGTCATCAAGGAAAGTACTTGGATGAGAAGCACAGTAACGAAACCAGAAAAGAAAAAAAAAAAGAGGGGGAAAATTTTTCAAGAATGTGAGATTTCTTCTCTTCTGCTGCTAAATTTTATTTGCTATTATTGCTAGACAACACTATCATCAAGCTCAGTTTTCGATTAGGTAGGTACAAACCGAGAGTATTGCAGCTGTTTCACCCAGAACAGAATCCAGCATCCACCTTAACTTTCCAACTGTCCTGTAACGGCTCCCTTTATCAACAGATGGAGACCAAGGGAACAGTGCTCTATTTTAATAGAGCTCTTGTATTTATTTCCACTGCTATGAAATTGGCTTTTAATTCACTTTCATTTCCCAAGTTATTTTTCTACAATTTTTTTTGTTATAAATCCCATGCACTAACCTACATCTGTCTGAAAAGAAAAGCCGCCCTTTGATTAGAACTGGAATCCAGTATCATATACAGTGTGTTTGGAAACCTCTGCAGAAAAAACCATGTCTGCTTTAATACATCTAGCTCGAGGCACCACGGGGTGAGTCAAGGACAACAGAGCAGTATGTTTGAAAAAAAAGAAAAAAAAAAAATATCCCTGCTTTTCTTGGCTAGCTAATGCATAAACTTCAATGTTATTTACGTGACTTTTATAAGAGTTTGGGATAAAAGTAATTTTATCTCACTGCAAAGATTTATTTGCTGCCATTCCTGTCTTTTGGGAGGCTGTGGAAGTCCACCCACCAAATAGTGTCTTCGTGGCACCTATAGGTATTAAACCATATGCAAATTTCGGCAAATAGAATAACTAGCTATTAATTAAACAATGATTAATGACATATATGGAAGAGAGATTAATTATATTTTTCACCACTTGCTTCAATCTTTTAGAGGAATACTAATTCATTAGATAAAATAATTTTCACTATATTCTGGCCTATTCACTTCCTGAAGCTTTTGGAAATCTTACAGCTAAGCAAAGCCAAAAAGCAAGTAATAAAGGCCCAGGCTTAGTGCTTTGTTTGGGTTTTTTTTTCCCCAGATGATTACATCTTCAAATGAGTGCTGCTTTTAAAGCTTTTGCAGAGGTTTTCTTTATGCTTTAGACACCATGTTACTGTAGCATCTTATCAATGTCACCTTTCCTCCAGTCTCTGGAGAGTTTTGAAAAAATAATTTGTTTGCAATATCTTCTAAAAAAAAGAAAAAAAATCACAGGTAACTTCTGATACAGACATATTTTTCTGTCACATTTTTTGTGGGGGTGCATTACAACTGCTTGCTGTTGCAATGTCTGTCCTGAACACTGCTCAGTGAAACTTGCTATTAGTTAATATAAGTATTTCTAATAAACCAGCTACAAAGAGTATGGCTTTGTCAACCCCTTGAAAATGTAGAGAGCAAACCTTACAGAAACCTTAGGTATAATTTACATCGGGCAGAAATCAAGAACAGAAAATAGTATATATGCAGAATATGAGAGAAGGCTTTTGCACCTGGTGCAGGGTCAGTGGCATTATGAACGGAATAAAAGTTGCTTAACCTGCAGCCAGTGACACCATGGAACGTCAATACGCTCTGATACTCAGTAAGCTTCCATCTAGCATCTCGAGTGTAAAGTCTAGAGTATAATGACTTTTCTTCTAAATCAATGGTATGGCGGTTGGAAAGCTCTTGATCACTTTATAAATACAACTAAATGCTTTCAGTCCTGTTCCTTCACCCTCTTGCAGCAACAGAACAACTTATTGCCACACAAGGGAGCAGGATATGACATCAAAAAACCTCATCAGTAACTTCAGATTTAGGTGAAACCAGAGCATTACCTGCTAGAAATCTAAAAGAATTCTGAGAATTCTTACACCTCCCCAAAATATAAGGGCATTTAAAAAAATAGATATTTATACTCGTAAACTATTTAAGGGATGAGATTTATTTTTTTTTTTTCTTATCTCCTAGGTCCGTTATCGTGTCAAACACGTAACTCGGGAAGTTCTTAACATTGTAGACTGGGGTTCTCAAAGACATCTGAAGGACTGAGAGACACAGTACTCACTGAATTTCAGTTGGATTTGTGACTAAGCCCTCTAGGACCCTCTGGACAGCGAAGTCACAAAAACCAGAAAAGAACACGTGATGTTGGCAATAAAGATGTATATAGAACACATCACAGCTTATGTTATTTTATTAATTTTTCATTAATTCTAGGTTTAAAAACGTGTTTAGATTGTTGTGCTTTTATTTAAACTCTGACCCATTTTCCCCCAGAACTACTCACTTGATAAAGTATTTGATTCCATCTGCTGTATAAGCTTCTTCCCATCCATAAGGCAGACCTAAGATGAAACAAAGAAGTAAAATGTCTCTCAGAGCTTAGGAGACACAAAGAACGTTGTTTTGAAATGGTGTTGTAAGTCAGAATGCTGTTAGAATTTCAAACCATGTAATAAATAGATTATAAATTAATTCTTGCTATTTTTGCAATAGACAATAATACAATAACACTATTTAATACATATTTGCTGTGCTATGAAGCTATAAACCATTTGATGATACTTTTATTACTAGCATTTCTTTTTGTAGAAGTAGCAGTTAACTCTTTTTGAGTTTTTAATTGTCATTTACACCTACATGAAGTGACCAAAAAGCCCCTATGCCTGTGGTCTGCTGAGGTCTGTTTTACCGTTTGTAAAGCTATTACACACAGATTGCAATAACTACATAAGGCAGAAGTCTGGGCAGAATGAAATCCTCTGCTGTTTTGTTTATCACCAACTTCTGTATTTACACGTAATTCTTGGCGAATTTCGACACAACCTCCAAGACACTTAAGAGACAGATTCAGAGAAAATATGTACAAATATTTACATGTATACTTACCTAAGTCTACATCTCCTGACAAAGGTTAGTTTACTAAACGCATTGCTTCATTTGGTGATTTACAGTAATATTTCTGGGAGTTAAAGTATTTAATATTGAACGTTTATTGTAAATGAAAATAATTCTGAAAAGGTGCCATTTTTACATGTACTAAAAAACTGCTCTCTTTTCCCCTTTTGTAATTATCAGTCACGCTAATCTTCAAAATTCAGTCTTGGATCTTGTTCTTAGTTTGAAAGTCCTGTGTATGAGCAAGATGAGCAATACTTTTAGGAGGATACTATGCTGTATCACTTTAAAAATTCAATTTGCACAGGAAATCTGAACCTTTTTATTACCGTTTGTTCAAAACCTAAATGTTTGTAGCGTTTGAAAAGTGCTGGAGAAACAGGCATCAGTCAACGTGCAAAAGTGCTCCCAATGTATGCTTTTGTGATACTGCACTGTAATTTATATAAAAGGAAGGCTAGAAATACATATAGAATTAAAATATGCATGAAAATTGTACTGCAAGTACTTTAGCTTGAAAGTCATCTTGAAACGTTAGTGTCTTAGGAGTTAAACTATTTTTGTTCAAGTTACAGCGTATCTCAAAGACCAGCTCATTAGAACCATCTGTGAGCCTGCTTTAGATTTAAAACTTTTATTTGGAAAATGCGCTGGACTGCACGCACCGTGTGATCCTTGAAAGCTGCTTCATACCAAGGAATGCCCTAAGTGCACACCACATATTTTTTGGAATTTCTTTCTTAAAAGTCTCATTTTCTTTTTTCCCCATCATCACACCTTTGTCTCTAGTGTGGTCCTTACTGCTTACAAACCTGGAAAGGGATAACTTCAGTTCTCAAAGATAAAGAGAGTTCATTACAGCTACTGAATCATGACTTGGCAAGTGAAGAGGTACAAACCGTCTGAGCAGTAATTACACCCGTAGGCACCAAGTGAGGAGCAACAGGTAAGTCTATCAAAACTCCCGAATTCAGGAACATGAGAACTGGTAATAGTAGAACAGCACCATTACAGTTTAATACAGCTTGGAAAGCAAAAAAGCACATTGGATGAATGTTTTTTCCTTTCATTTTTACCCCATATTAGTCACTTATCTCAGGCTTCTTCCATTTTCAATTTAGCATAGATCTATACAATCTGTTCCTCAAAACATACCACCTACTACCTTTGAGAGAGAATAATCCACAGCAACTTCCCTTTAAATACAAGGTAGTTGCTGCATAACGGTTTTCAGGCTCTGACTCCTATGAAGGAAAGGAAGAAAAGGATGTTTTAGTCTATAAATATGATCACTAGTTCTCCCTTCCTCTCCCATAAAAGATGGGACCTTTACTCACCATGGCTATTTTCTAATGATTTAAACGGCAATAGCATTCATCCTTCAATTGCTACCATCTGCCCTGGCCTTTCCTCATTCCTACATGGAACATGCACATCCGAAATAAAGGACAACGGATTTGCTCAATTATGAATAAACCCCTCAGCATCTGCTCTGTGCTCACATGGATCCCCTACATCACCTGTGTTTCGTCCATCAGTGATAACTGCACTTTTTTTCACTAGCAATTTGACTAGAATTCTTTCTTTTCTTCTCTCCTTCTAAATGAAGGATGGCACGTAGGTAGCAATAATAACAGATGCTCTGCATTCTTTTCTTAACCTCGAAGGACGATGCTTTTCAAAAACAGTGAATAAATTTGTCAGCTATAACTGAGACTCTGGAGGTATCTCCACAGCTTTATTTGCCTTTTTGACTTTATATGCATTGGATTATATATGCTACCCGCTCTTTATAGGCTTCAAAGTTCCACCTACATCTGTAGGTCTTTTAATGCCTTTGTTTTCCACATTTTACTCTTTCTCCACTGGTTTCTCACTGCTGTTCCCATCACTCCTTTCCTTCACTATTAGATTTGTACTTACATTTCTTGGTATTTCCCATGGTAGCCAGGAGGCTCTCATGTTTTGCATTGTATTTCCCTAGACATCATCTTCACTTCCTTCAAGCTCACTTTCTCTATGAATCATTCATAAGTTGATCTACTTCCTAGTGCTCTATTTTTTTCACACCCCCCAGGGTCAGATTTGTCGCCTGTCCTAGGACTTGCTTTGAAAGACTGCTAAGCTCTCACCTGGAATAAGTGGGAAGTAAAGGAGCTCCAACAGTCAGAAATATAGCCTGAAAGATACAGGATTTAGCCTATATAAACTCCATCAATCTTAGGTTTCCTACATATTTATCATTTCTTCTGTGAATTGCTACAGTCTTTGATGAATAATATATCTTGGCTGCAGTTGTCTGCATATATCATCTTAAAAAAATACAGATTTACAATATTTAAAAATAATTTCTTTTCAGCAGAAAATACAGGGCTTCTTGCTACTCAAACATTTGTGATTATTTATCTTTTGCAAGGTAAGGAAAAGATAAAACTGCAAAAGTGATTATGCGTGCAAAAGAAATGAATACAGTCCGAGGCACCCTTTGCTCAAACAGAGCGGTCTCCTGAGACAGGGCAAGGTAGCCAAAATACATTATAACCCACCACTATTTTGTTTTGAATATCTGCATTTAATTAGGGTTAACGCAAAGGAGATTTCTGTAATTCTGCGCGGAAAGAAAACCCCCAAACAAACGACTTGCTGTGGTAGGTAGAGCAGTAGCGTTGCAGGCAGTCAGCGCACGAGGCAGTATCCCTGGTGACTGCTTGTCTCCTCAGCTGCAAGATGCCTGCTGTGATAACCACTACTGTAAAGTTAACATTATATAAAGCAGAAAGGAAATGAAACCCTAGGGCAAACAAAATTTTCCTGATACTTGATAAAGTGTGGATCTCATCGATCTTTATCACTTCTTTGGGTTAAGAGGACAAAGAAGAGGCAGCAGCACTGACACTTGGTTGGCTGCAGTAAGCAGGAAGATAAGCATCAGCCCAAATTATAAGCCTGTATGAAGCAACAGACACTGAAGATTGTGCCTACTGTTTCAATAAAAGCTACACGTAGCATGATCAATCAGAGTATGTCCCTAAAGGATGAAGGGGGAAAACACATATATTAGAAAAAAGCCTCAATTTACTGGGCAGTTACCAAAACTAGAAACTGCAGTAATGTAGTTGGGTGGGGTTTTTTTTCCCAATAAGTTAGTTTAAAAAAAAATTAAAGCAAAAGAAATGCAGAGCTCAGCAGATGAAACTAATAAAAGCAGATACCATAGCATGAATATTCAATTGACTCAAAGCTGACAGTTATTTCCCTAACATCTAAATACTGCAGTCCAAATATGCTTTATTTTTCTTATTTTCTGACAAAATTACTCAAAGGAAATGGGAGATTTAGAGACTACAGTAAGAATTGTTCAAAAATTTACTGTTCACTGGGATTCTATCTAGATTTGGCCAAAGTGGGACTATGCAAGATAAGCACGTCCTTAAGTCCTTAAGACCAGACTTTAAAACCCTGCTTCCATTACAAGTCACGCAAACATTACTGATGAATTCGAAAAGACTGCTTAGGGACAGCTACCAGAGGTGGTAATCCCACCCTGAAAATTCTTTTGTGAAGCACGAACTTATTTCCAGCAGTGTTCACAGCTTTGTCATCCGCCAAAGGATGTCTGGCTACAATTCCTTTCCTGTTAGGCCTAAACAATCTTGTGGCTGTATCACTAAACCACCTTGTCTGGAATTAATACGAAGTATCAAGCTTATGGGATGTGATATCTAGCTGGAATTCAAAAGCCACGTAGTACAAGTGTTCTGTTTCACAATGACCAACAGAAATAAGGATGCCTTTTTTACAGATCCTTTTACCTAGTTTGACTTTTCCACTCACACTTCTTTTTTTTTTAAAGTAGGAGAGCATGAGCTAGCTCAGAACCATCCTTTATTCACCTCCTTACAGTTTATTTATAGTCAGTATTAGATTCTCAAAAATGATGTTTTTTAAGAAATAGGCATTACCTGCTAAAAGTATTTCTGATAGACAAGATTTGGTAAAGGACGTTATAAACAGTTTTCTCCATCACTTGATAAATGAGGTTTTGAATTCCGATCTCTTTTCAATATCCACCAATTCAGCTCTTATCAACACTTAAACCTTCCTCATGTGGCCTCAATAATAATGCAAAATTTGTTAGCTAAGTTCCCCAATCCCTCTGGCTCTTCTCTTGGAGCTATCCAGGCAATGCAGAGGATGGAAAGCTGAAGATCTGACTTGCTGGTTCCAAGTTACCTGGTCTTGGACTCACGAGTGCTACTGGATTATGGGAATATCCCAGATACGAGACTAGAGGTCTCACGATGTGAGACGGCAGAGGAACTCCTCTGTGAGTTACGCAACCTGACGCAGCTACAGCGAAACGTTGTTGAGAAATATCCTACCTTGTTTGTCAAGTGCGTTCAATGGGCGCAGGCATAAAATGGCCCTGTATTTTTTGGGGCTGTCA